CGGGGCGCCGAGTGGGACCCGTGTCTAGTACTAGTACTAGTACTACTACTACTACTACTACTACTACTACTACTACTCCTCCCCATACTGCTGCTGCACGCTACTTCATTCAGCACCGCAGCGCAGTAGGAGAGACCAGAACCTCCGCGAAATTGCCATCGAAGCATCCCACAGTCACTCGCATGAAGCAGCTTTTTCTTGCTTTGTTCTAAGGAGAGCTCTGGGCCTGGCAGTCAGAAGCCCAAAAAGCGCTTCCAGAGCAAGGCTCCGAGCTCAGCTCGCACGATCAGGAGGGTCCTCCCAGCCCACGTGCAGTAAACGTACAGTCTCCTACATGTCCTTTCTAGAAGCTTCTAGAAGCCACAGGTGGATGCGCAGGGAAGGTGCATGCTGCATGGTATGAGCTTCGGCACTGGGCACGCGAAGGTAGACCCCAAAGCACCGCAGCAGAGGCGGCTGATGCAGGAAATCCAGGAGTTGCTTCGGGCATGGTTGTTCCACGATGGATGGCGATGATGATAATGAAGATGTGGATGATGATGATGATGATGATGATGATGATGATGACGACAGGTGGTTTCAGGTACTGTACGGATGAAAATGCAGGTGTCAGAGATTCCTGCGTTGCTGTGGCTCAAGGTTTTTGTTTCGGACGGTTCGGGAGAGATATAGATACCAATCTTTTCGACGCCATGTGCCTGTCTGCGCCTCCTGTCGATGAGACGAATGTTAAGTTCATCGGCGTGAAGCCCGCCGCCGAGAAGCCCGCCGATGAATCTCCCGAGTCGCCGACAAACTCAGAGCAGGAAACCCAAGTGAGTGACTTGCAGTGCTTGGTAGGGAAGTTGCAACGGGTTGCACGTCGGGACAATGTTTGGGATTGATTGGGAAGTAAAACGGATCCAAAAAGCAATAAGTAAGGTGAACCCGACTCACAGAGCACTACGTTGCCCGTCGATTCCAGCGATGGTGGCTCCTTCACTCCGGCAGATGTGTCCTCGGCTAGTATCGATGTGGAGATCGGCTGCAAGACCGAGGAGGATGCATATGAAGAGTGCCCCAGCATTTGGACCTGGCGAACTTGTGGCCTTCCAATCGGTGCCTTCTTCCTTGCTTTCCTGAACTCTGTTGCGTCCAGTGTGGGCTACGGATTTTTTCTGGGCTACATGGGCTTGGACTCCTACGTCGTGCTGTCCATCAATGCCCTCATGAAGCTTCCGCAGGTGCTGCTTCTCCCCTTCGGCATGCTGAACGACTGCCTCCCCATTTTCGGCAAGCACAGGAAGCCCTACTTTGTGGCATCATGGATGCTGTGTGGAACTGCGCTCTTGGCGATGAGCGTAAGGCCGCTTCCTGAGCCATACTACTGTCAGCTTCCTGATGGCACCTTTGACATCATGTCACCACCGTGCAATCCCGGAATCCATGCAGAGAAAAATTGGTATCTCTTCCCGATGCTCGCTCTCGTTGCAGGTGTGCAGATGGGCTGCGTCGCGGGTGAGGGCCTTCTGCTGGAGTACTCCCTGCACGAACCCGAGGAGACTCGGGGGAAGATGAAGGCCGAGTTCTCAATGGTGACCATGGGTGGTGCGCTCGCTTCTTCCGCATTCGTTGGGGTCTTCATGAATGGCAAGGAGTACTTGGGCACCTTCGACTGGAGCTTGTCATTCCGCAGTCTGATGATTGTCTGCTTGGTGATCGCCACCTGCGTGATCCCCCTCAGCCTGCAGTGCGTCTACGAACCCAAGAAGGTCCAGCGCCCATCCTGCTGTGCACATGTGAAATCCTCCTGGAAGCTGGTCAAGAAGAAAGGCCTTTCCACTGTGCTGCTCTTCGCATTCATCATGCAGTTCTTTTCCACCGTCTCGACCACTGCTGGGCCCATGGTCCGCAGCCAGTGGGTAGGGGTCAAGGTCTTGCAGCAGCAGATGTTCATGATGGGCAGCATGTTGGTCATGATGATGGCAACTTGGGTGTACAAGGAGTACCTCCTCCAATTCTCCTGGCGAAAGGCAATCCTCTTTGCAGTCGTTGGGGTGACGATCTCCGACTCCATCCCGAGCTTCCTCGCAATTTTCGGTGTGGTTCGGAACCAGTACTTCTTCCTGGGGGAGGACGTGCTTGGTGCTGTGCCCACCACGGCTCTCGCCTTGGTCTTGAACTTGATTGTCATTGAAGTGGCAGAGCCTGGGCGTGAAGGTCTCTGCTACGGTCTCGTTGGGACGGTGATGCATGCCAGTCAGCCCATCTCCACAGCTGTGAGCAACCAGGTCTTCGGCCTCTTCCAGCCAAACCTGTCCGACCCACGCAACTACCTCGCGGACACGCCCAGTTTCAGGAACACTGTGGCCTGGTCCTTCGTCCTTGCGTACGGTGCCTCGATGCTCGGTCTCTGCGCAATTCCCTTGATTCCAATGCAGAAGGCTGAGGCCCAGAGACGCAAGAAGGAGTGGAGCTCCAGTACGACAATGGCTATCTTGGTGTTGGGTATCCCTGCTCTGTGCCTGCCTTACGGTGTTGCTGTCCTGCTGCTGAGCTCGCAGCCGGAGACAGCATGCCTGCGCTGGATTGGTGGCCCCGGCTGCGTGTAAAGCGCCCGGAGGCATCACCAATGCAACGGTGTTTGAGTACAGTAGGTGTATAGCTGTTTCAAGAAGTCGACCTCCCTCAGGTATGTAGACGGAAATCTCCAGCCTTACAGACCCCATGGTCTGAGTGTCGATTGGGCAGCTGCCCGTGTGTTCTGGTGGAGAGCCGGACCACAGGACCTCTTGCACGATTGGGCCTCACAAGAGCCTTAGGCCGGCATCCACGTCTGTAGGTGGAAACTTGCAATACTCCTGCAATCTTTTGGTAAGGACCCAGGGTGCAAAGCCTGTCGCTCCGCAAGGTGCCCACTTGAACACGCAATGCCACGTGCTTAGTCACGGTTCCAAGTTTCAGCTGCGCACACCTGCACGAATCCTGCAAGTCCAGGGTCCCGGCTGGGCATCAGACCACGAGCTTTCTCGGACCATCTTTCCCATAAGTGCTGGGCTCTGGGCTTCGTTTCCGGGTTGTCAGGCAAGCTGTAATTCGAGGCTGCCTGCTGCCCTTTGTTCAATCTTGTGCTCTGACCCTACGTGTCAGAACTGTGTCGCCGATCGAGTCAGAACTGACCCTACGTGTCAGACTGACTCAACGTCAAAGTCATGATGCTCTCTTCCCTTCTGGCGCCCACCGGTGGTGCCCGCAAAGCCCTGGACGAGCTTGTACTGTATTGGATAGAGTCCCCTGGAATCGTTTTACAGGTCAGATGAAAGGTCGTCTGGAGCAGTGTTTCAGTTACATTTAGTTTCAATTTGTGTCAATCCATGCGCAGCTCTGATTCTTGCAAGTACAGTGGGGTCTTTCGTGCTGACGTACCAGTCGCTCGATTCACGCCTACACTTGCGTCGTCGCGGCCTCATATCATTTGGATCAAGGTGCCCATCGCCTTGCTTTCTTCGGCCGCGTGAAGAAAGAAAAAGAACCGATGCTGCGCCAGGTGGAATTCTGGGACGAACCTCTCCGGACATTCGAAGCCCCACGTTTCTCGACTAGTCGCTTCCAGGAGATGCAGAACAGCACGCACTTGCTGATTCCAAAGCTGCCACTTGCCCGCACATAGGCCTGAACAAGGACACAGACATTCCCCAAACACTGTGGCAAACACTATATCACTATTGCGCGACACGTTTGCTTGAAAATGCAAATCATTGTAAATTCAAGCACATCTGGCCCCATTTTTGGCCCGGAAACGACTGACTTGAGAGGTGGGCTTGGTGATGTAGCAGCCAATCTGCCTGGCAAATTCTTTATTGCGGCATATTCGTCGCTGTTGCCGGTAGGCCCGTATACAAACTGCATGAGTGTCAGCATGAAAGCGACAGCCAAGGCGCGCCCCTGTCGAGGGGTACCTGTTAATGTGTACACAAGTCGAGCTGCAGTGACGGTCTTGGTCCTTGTGTGTTTAGCAGTAGACTTAGAAATGTGGTGGTGGTGGTGGTGGTAGCAATAGCAGTGGTCGCGGTAGTGGTAGTGGTAGTCGCAGTCAGAGTCGTAGATGAATTGTCCGAAGGAAAAGCCGTCGTCGTAGACGTAGTCGTAGT